TGGGGAAATTTGCGTTGTTACAGCAGTACAGAGGACAGAGCAGAACCAATATAAAAATCTCTATGCACAAAAAAAATACAAGTGAATATAGAAATACTGAAATGGCATGGTATGAAATATAAAAAATAAGTAAATTCCAGGTGTTTATGTTAAGGCAAGCAGGTAAGTGATATTACACTTAGATTAAAAGTAAATAAATAATAAATGAAATGGTATTTATTTACTTTATTTACTAATTTAGCAACTAAGAGTCGCTAAATGTATTAGTTATTTTTAAAATAAAAGTCACTAGAGGAGTATGAAAAATTGATAAACAGCGACAAAGTGAATGTCAACGAGTACTTCTTTCGTCCTGATCACACCCCCACCCAGCCCTCTGCTCATCCCCTCACTCAGCCTCGTCTCTGCCACGGGCAGGGTTTAGCTTTCAGAGATTAGTTAGAGTTTATGGCTGTTGATTTATTTTATTTTTTATCAGTTTTATGGGTTTTCTATTAATATCTATCTATCCATCTAGATTGTTCCTATTATAATATAGGATTGTCAGATATTTCTCTATCTAGACAGATGCATTGCCACACAGGTACACCCACTAGAAGGAATCAAACGCACCCAGTACAACACTTGTATTCTATTGACTGAAAGGTTGCTAGACGATGATACTTTTCTGCTCCAAGCGTGAGCAGAAAATGTTTTGCAAGCGGAGATTTGATCCAAGCAGAGACAAGTTTTGAAAGCAAGGAGAAAAGATTGAGAAAGCACAGTGAATATTTGAAAGAGAGTGGAAGTTTGGAGTACAAGCATTGAATGTTTTGAGAGCAAAAGACATAATACTGCTTTCTGACTCAAAATGTGTGCTCTCAAATTATGGCAGAAAAATTCCCCCACACAATTTGCACATTCATAGAATAGAGATGCTTTCTGTCCTTAAAGGTGCATTCACAAAGTGAGCGGCTCAACTGAAGGATGACTGCAGTTGCATCGGTATCCCACGGCTCCTTCTTTAAGTTTTGCTCAGAGCTTCAGGATGATCAGTCTGGATTAATCTAAACAATAATAAACCATCATTTCCCAGCAGATCAATATGGTCTCTGAACAATCACTCCCTCTGAATCTTCTATTGGCGGTGTTCTCCATCATTTCATGCGCTTCGGTACACAGACTGATGCATTACATTTTTATCTGACAAAAACTAAGGAAATTTACTATTTACACTCAAGTGAGGTTTTCATGTTCTTTTATTTTATTTTGTGTTATGTAATTGAGGATAAATGTTGTTTATCTTTGTTGTGGCTGCCACACAGTTTCACAGCAGGTAAAAAGTAGAAACTTTCACACTACATTAATTTTTATAGACATCAACTTGTGCCTAAAATATGGCACCACACATTTTTTTCAAGGTGTGCAAATTATTCAAGATTGACTTCTGGATTGGTTAGACTTTATTAAAATACAGCTCACATGACCAAAGAAAATGGCAGAGAATAAAGGTGCTGGAAGGTGACCAGTGCATGAACTAAAATACATTTTCAAACTTGATTTTAGACAGAATATGATGAACTAGTTCATGATAAACTTTTTTCAGAATACTTGGTTTGTGATCTATGAACAAAATTAATTTTTTAACTTATTGTTTTGAATGTAGAACTAGTTCTTGCTAAGGTTAAGGATGTTCTGACACA